GGTAACGACAACAACACAACCCACTATACTTCTATACAATTCCCTCTCTTTCCATTAGTTTTTATACTGATTTAAGCATCAGAGTATATGTCGGTACTTCGCCGGTATTAGCTCAGCTAATCTTTGGTCCAGTCGTACGAGTCAAGATTTCATCTTTCCCCTATTCACAACCGCCCGTCGGCTTTTCGCCACCTGGGGCTGTAGTATGTTCCAAGGGTTGGGCTGTTCGCCCATTAAAGCGGTACGTGAGTTGGGTTCAGAACGTCGTGAGATAGTTCGGTCCATATCCGGTGTGGGCGTTAGAGCATTGAGAGGACCTTTCCCTAGTACGAGAGGACCGGGAAGGACGCACCTCTGGTGTACCAGTTATCGTGCCCACGGTAGACGCTGGGTAGCCAAGTGCGGAGCGGATAACTGCTGAAAGCATCTAAGTAGTAAGCCCCCATTAGGTCAAACCCAGACCACTCGATTCGATTGCCCTCTCCAAATTACCCATTAATAGTTGGCACCATCTGTGGGAATATATTATTCAAGCTTCGATCTATCCTAGCTAGAACCTTTCTAGTCGAATCCACATAACAGTCATACAATTTAGGATGAAATGAACGTCTTAAACCCTCCCAAATACTAGAGGAAAGCTGATCCAACATTCCTCGTCAAATCGAGGATGTCGAAAGAGAGAAGAATAATCTCAAAGCAATTGACATCAAAGCAGTAACAGCACCATCGATACAACTTAAATGATCGTGGTTGGGCTCCGCGACGAAAAATTCTTATGGACCCACGAGAGGTCTTACCTTTGCCTGCACTTCTCGGCCTTGGGAACTAGAGCGTTATCTCGACCTTGAGAACTACCTCGGTCTCGAGCACTATCTCAACTTCGAGAACTACCTCGGTCGAGCACTGCCCCTGTGGCCGCGCAACCATTCTTTGGGCCACGTGAACGCGATTCTCATGGTCGTGCAGCTCGTGGACAGTCCTAACATGCGGTTTGTTTAGCTCGTGTGTGCAAACAATGCAGCTCATGCGTGTGACCACCACGGCCCATGCGTCCACGCAATCCCATCTCTGAAACAAAACAACCCAGGCAGATGAATTACTCCTAATGCTGAAGCCTCTCTAACTAAAGAGTGACAAAGAGAGCTCAGCTCACATGTCAAGCACGGTCATGTCAGACGTGCTCTCTCTAAAGGATCGCACTCTTTATGTAGCCCATACTACAAGTGCGGTCATGATGGTCGCACTCCCACTTGGAGGGTTGCACCTCTACGCGGCCCACATCACCCGTATATGCAATGTGCTTTCGTAGTTACTTTAAGTCTGTACTCTGTTTTCCTATTCCCCCAATATAATTAATTCTAACAATCATTTTATGTTTTCTCTAATTTAGTTTGTTTAAAATTTGTTTGTATTTAAATCTCGAACTAGTTTGATTGGGTTTCCTCTATATAAGGTTGTTGAAGTAATTCCAGATTTTGTCTGTTGGTATCAATTTACAAATTAACTAGTTTGAAAGTAAAAACAAAGCCTATTATTTTAGACGTCCGAATTATTTTATGGTCAATAATGTACAAATATTTTTCGCCGTTCCATATTATTTATTTTGAATGTGCATCTTTTTTTTCTTTTAAATAAATAAACACTATTGTATATTTGTGCACCTTTTTCAACACATCTATGTGCATGTATTCACATACAAATACACATGTATTAAAATGTTTTTCTTTAATTTCTAAATATATATTTTTCTTCACTGGGTTGTAATGTATTTGAGCAAATTTATGAAGTTAATTGAATAAAAAATTGAATTTTAATTGCAGCAGTAGAAATTTAATAAATAATCGAGTTGTGAATAGGTTTTTTTTTCGTGTTACGATCTATGTTAATGTTGAATTTAAATTGCATTTTCAGATAGTTTTGCATTTTTTATTGTAGATGTATATGTAATATTTTTTTGTATTTTTTTTATTTAATATCAATACATATGCTTAAAGAATTCTCTATTTATTAAATGTTAAACTTTAATTATATTTAATTTTCTATAAGATTTAAGAAGTCATGTTTATAACAATTATGTTAAATATATAAATATAAAAGAATTATTAAGACTAGTTGATAATAAACGATGGTTAATTAAAAGTAATTGACATTTGTTAACTAAAAGTTTGTTTAAGTTAACAAAACCCAACTCAAACCCATTAACATAACTCGCTCTGGTGAGAAGAGGTTGATCTTTTTGGATTGACAAGAATTCAACATATGTAGGTAAATTTCAATCATGTCTATATTATTTAAAAGTTATGTAAGGTTTATAGAATTGTTTATGGAAAAAGTTTGTAATATGAATTGAAGGAATATATTGTATGGTCGTATTTTATTTTTCTCTAATTTTTTCATGTAGACCACTGCAACAGATATAGTTTGTATCTTACTCATTCCTTTAAGGTCAAGGTTTTGATTTCTCATCTCCACTTCATTATATTAAAAAAACGTACAATAATCTATCACAAAAAATAAAATTAAGGTGCCGATTTTGATCAAATCTTAAGAAAATAAATAAATAAATAAAATTTATTACAGGTATATCTTCCATAACTATTGCTTAGGTAAAATAATCAAAATAGTTTTGACTACTTTGCCAATGATATCTCCACATAATTTTTAACTATATATATATATCCACATATTAGTTATAATAAATAGTAGGATGTATTACAATGAAGTTAAATTTTTGTGTTTCTCATCGTGGTGTCAAATTTCATCAAGCCAAACACAACATAGTTTGATTATGATACTAATTCCTCGTAGTAAATTTTAGGTTAAAAATATTGTTTTACTTCATGTATTTTCAATAAAATATTCATTGTGGTCTATGTAGTTTCAAAAAGTTCAATTGTTTTTTTTTATCCGTGAGTGTCTATGTCAACTTACGCGCACCTCGACTAATGTAGCGGGGGTAACCACTTGACCCTACAACATTTGGTGCTGGAAAATACATAGAAAATAATAGTTTAAACTTTAGTTCAAAAAGAACTTTAGTTTATTTTAGTTAAAAAAAATAGTTTATTTTAGTTCTTCTATTTTTTAAAAGTGACAATTTTGGTCTCTATTTGTAAATTTAAACACAAATTCTACCCATAATGAAAATTATTTAATATAAAGTCATGGTTATACTTTAAGAAATATGTTGAGTGTAGTGTCGTGTTGAAATTATGATAAAAAAATGATATTAAGAATTAAATAAAGGGATCAAAATAGTCATTTTTTTAAAGTATAGGAATCGGAACGAACAATTTGGAAAAAAAAACATTTTGAAAAAAATACAGCTACCCAAAGTTGAAAATACATGGATTAAAATGAATTGAAATTAAAGAATACAATGGCGAAAAAAAAAACCAACCAAAAAGTATTTTAACCTAAACTTGATAATACAATCAAATAATATAATTAATTTGAGAGTCTGAATTGAACAGTTCACCCTACCCTACCTAATATTTTGTTGTTTTTTTTTCACCCTATGTTTATTAATATTTTCTATTAACCATGAATAATAATATCTGATATTTGTTAAAATTAATTATCTAAAACCAGTAAATAATATAAATACATAATTTTAATATAATCGTTGATATTATAATATTATTAGTTTATAAAACAATTAAAATTAAATAGGA